TTCACAAAGTTCTACCAAATCAAGTCTTCAACGACATGAAGCCTGCTAACTTGAATACTAACATTGGTACACGACTAATACGCCGTTTTCCATGCATATATTGTTGCTCACGTTATTGTATCAATATAGGTAATGTCTCGCTCAACAGTCTAGTAATACAGATTTTCGTTATACTATAAAGAATAGAAACCAGCTTTGCATGTTCCTGACATCATAAAGCCATCACTTATATGGAAAAGTATACGTATGTGTGTAGTGTCTAAATTTCTGTGCAATACCGAATGTCTTACCGTTTCAAAGGTATTTTTTAAAAATAAAATATATGTTACCAATCTGCATGTTGTCTTAATGTTGTTACACACGGTTCAGTTTAGTTATATGACATTTAAACACCACAACTCCCCTTTATAACTAGTTCAAGTACGTCCCATAATCTACGCTGTGTAAAATCCATCTTTCACCTCATTCTAGCAAATTTCAAAGGACGCCAAATTATAACGAAAATAATTGTAATTTGTCGCCAGTCGCCGCGCTATTTACCACTTTATATATTGACATATTACGCCGGCGATTCAAAGCAGGCATGTGATGGGCTCTTTAGCGGCCAAATAAAAATAAAATGAATGCGATACCGCGACAATGATCGGTTTCGTTAATTTTTCGTCCTCGATCTTCTATAAAGAAAAGATTGTTCATGTATGACATGAATCGTAACATTACTGCATATTTGGTTAGTATAGAGTCATTAAAAGGAACAAAAATGCACTATGATAACAATTTTATCTCATCAATCAAGTACTTAATGTTTACATGTATTGAAAAAATGAAAAAAAAAACACATTACTTAATGAACATAGACATTATTGTTCACGAAAGCTGAATACATTCGTAAAAGTAACATGCAAAATACGTTGGCAGGGTAATACACGCGAGTCTTGGATAACAGGATCCAGCATTGATCACGGTTACTTGAAATCACAATAGCCCGAACCAATCACAGATTGATATTAATCGCTCCTGTAACGCGATGTAATTCAATTATACATTGAGACGTTCAGGCATGGGTTTTGGTAAACTTTTGGCGACGTGGAGATTATTGGTTGTCGGTCGATCACAGATGTCTCGTAAATGTTTTTCATATTTACGGTTGCGGCGACGGTCACAGTTCTCGACACCAAATTCCAACACATCTCTCAAATATCTGATGTAATCTATGGCTGCCTTCAGTGTGTTTATTTTCGATAGTTGTTTGCTTCCATATGGTTTGCATATCTTTGGTAAAACATCTCATAGTTTATTTAAACGTTCATTGAAATCTTTCACTCGAGCTTTCTCTTTAATGTTAGCCAAGTGCCGGGCTTCTACGGCACGTGTCTTCCGTTTACTGTTTGATTGTGCTGGTTCATTTTCACTTGGTACATTTACGAATTCCATGCATTTTACTGTAGGTGGTTTGCCTGATATTTTGACTTCCTCGTTGAATTGTTGAGGAGAAGAAGGGTCTGACTCACTCGACAATGAGTATTTAGAACCACCACCCTTTGTTTGGCGAAGCAATAATTCGTTATTTTTTGGTCTTCGCCTATCTCGCTTTTTCGTAGTCGATAATTCGACTGTTTTCCATTCAGTGATTGTAGAAAGCATTTCGGCAACATGGAGTTTTGGTCTCGATAGATTGGCATGCAATGAGTCGATTACACCTTGCAGCCTCGTGTTCCTATGTGACCCCTTTACTCCGTCGTCTTGCCCTGCAACCATGGTCATTTTTTTTCTCGGCCTCGTGAGTATCGTCATTACAATTCGAACGCACACCGTCATAGCATTCATTCACAGTCGCAGTTGAGACCATGTCTTCCAAGTATCGCATAGTACAATACTCCAGTTCCAGGGTAGCTAGTAAATCATCTGATAAATGTGTGTTTCCTTTCGCTGACGGAGTGCACTGAACTTGTTGACAATAGCCGGGATAAGTTGCTCCATTAATCCATTCTGTTACAAAGGTAGAGCTCATTCTGAGTTTGCGCGTTATGATAGTTGAATCGGGTGATAGATAAAAATACTTTTCTATTACGAGAAGTTTCTGATGTGTACAGGTTACAGGCTGTGTACACTCCGGTGTTAGTTAGAACACAAGATAATCTGAGGATAGGTAAAACACTATTTATTCACTCACTTCATGACACGTCAACCAATTGAATGGTGGTAATTTAAATAAATCATTTTAAGTTACCGACTCTGTAGTGCGAACAATAACATATAATTGCCTCATATCGTGCGTCCATTGCATCAAAAGAAAATAGCGATATTTGTCAGTTATCACTCAGGCAGTGAAACCTATTATCGAGTATATTGTTCTATCGTTGTAATATATTGACAGATAATCACTTAACTGGTCGCTTATCATCCAAACGCGGTTTGATGATTTTACATCAAAGGAAGTCAAGTTTTCAGGTACTAATTACTATGGCCTATACCTGCACGTTTTAATACAATCTTCTACATAAAATTGTGAACACAGGGGCATTTTGCATCAATTTGGTAATCAGAATCGCGGAGTTTGATAAGTACATTTTTGTTATTTCTATATTTTGTATTCCAATTATTGATCACGTACGACGTTCACAAATCCTTACAGCCAGTAGTTGAAAACATACTTTATTTTACACCTATTCCAATGTTTTAGCAGCAACCAAAAGTAGTCGATGCAATCAATCATTGCTAGCACTTATCGCTAGCATTTTAAATCACAATTTATATGTCTTCATTTATGGTAAACAACGCCCTCATGTGTACATAATGTAAATTGTAGTAGTAAACGCCCTCTAGTGACACATGTCATCTTCGCTTGTTCTCATCTCAGTTATCTGATATAATTCTTACTAAAAACCTACACCCACCCACATAATTATTTTGATCACCCAATCAGCAACCCTCCTAATATAGTTGTCTTTTCGGTTTGATGTTTTGTGTTGACAAAATATGATGCTTCACACATACGTATCTTTTGTCTCCAATGCTTCAAATAATTCGCCGACAATGCCATTGTGCAGAAGATAAATAGCGGAGCATTGCTGCATCTAATATCAGGTTGTGTCTTGAAAGCATCGAGTGGACATCTCACCTTGTAACTCATCTGTTGTTTACTATAACCCGTCAATATAACTCGAGTTAAAATGGAAAAACCTGTACTAAGTTTAGCAAAAACGGCAAGCAGTGACGTCTATTCGCCATATCAGATTTCTATAAGTCCCGAATACGTTCCATTGCATTGTATTCAGATGATTGGTCACGATACGTGCTCATTCCCGCGTCTTTATGGTACCAATGGGAAGACGGAGATCGAAAATGATAGTTTACATCCAATATATCCATTGGAATACAGTGAGTCAGTGTGCCGTGCAAGTCACTATATCGATGGTGACAACAAGACACACAGATCTACCAAATCAACGGAATTATACGACACGCTCGGAGGTATACGAAATGAAGTTGACACCGAACCAGTGCATGCAATCAAGATACGAAAGTCCTGCACGTAGAATCAAGAAAAGTAGCCAACTCCAAAGAGAGAGCCCGAAATGAATAGTATTAGAGATGGAGTTGACATGTTACGAGACATTTTACCCAAATCATGTACACCGTTTGGAGGAAAACAATTGTCGAAAATGAACACACTGAAAGCAGCTATCGATTATATTACGTATTTACGAGATGTATTAGAATTTGGTGAGGAGAACTGTGACCGTCGCCACAATCGTAAATATGAAAAACATTTGAAAGAGGTATGTGGTCGTCCAACATCGAACCATTTCATTAGCGTACAACCCGCCACCTCATCACATCACATCAAGGATAGAAAGCTAGTAAGAGCAAGAAGACGTAATATATCGTCAAAGCAGTTATCTAACCAACACTATATAATGGCCTCACAAAGTTCTACCAAATCAAGTCTTCAACGACATGAAGCGTTATAATAGGACGCCTGCTAACTTGAATACTAACATTGGTACACGACTAATACGCCGTTTTCATGCACATATTGTTGCTCACGTTATTGTATCAATATAGGTAATGTCTCGCTCAACAGTCTAGTAATACAGATTTTCGTTATACTATAAAGAATAGAAACCAGCTTTGCATGTTCCTGACATCATAAAGCCATCACTTATATGGAAAAGTATACGTATGTGTGTAGTGTCTAAATTTCTGTGCAATACCGAATGTCTTACCGTTTCAAAGGTATTTTTTAAAAATAAAATATATGTTACCAATCTGCATGTTGTCTTAATGTTGTTACACACGGTTCAGTTTAGTTATATGACATTTAAACACCACAACTCCCCTTTATAACTAGTGCAAGTAGGTCTTTATAACTAGTTCAAGTACGTCCCATAATCTACGCTGTGTAAAATCCATCTTTCACCTCATTCTAGCAAATTTCAATGGACGCCAAATTATAACGAAAATAATTGTAATTTGTCGCCAGTCGCCGCACTATTTACCACTTTATATATTGACATATTACGCCGGCGATTCAAAGCAGGCATGTGATGGGCTCTTTAGCGGCCAAATAAAAATAAAATGAATGCGATACCGCGACAATGATCGGTTTCGTTAATTTTTCGTCCTCGATCTTCTATAAAGAAAAGATTGTTCATGTATGACATGAATCGTAACATTACTGCATATTTGGTTAGTATAGAGTCATTAAAAGGAACAAAAATGCACTGTGATAACAATTTTATCTTACCAATCAAGTACTTAATGTTTACATGTATTGAAAAAATGAAAAAAAAAACACATTAATTAATGAACATAGACATTATTTTTCACGAAAGCTGAATACATTCGTAAAAGTAACATGCAAAATACGTTGGCAGGGTAATACACGCGAGTCTTGGATAACAGGATCCAGCATTGATCACGGTTACTTGAAATCACAATAGCCCGAACCAATCACAGATTGATATTAATCGCTCCTGTAACGCGATGTAATTCAATTATACATTGAGACGTTCAGGCATGGGTTTTGGTAAACTTTTGGCGACGTGGAGATTATCGGTTGTCGGTCGAACACAGATGTCTCGTAAATGTTTTTCATATTTACGGTTGCGGCGACGGTCACAGTTCTCGACACCAAATTCCAACACATCTCTCAAATATCTGATGTAATCTATGGCTGCCTTCAGTGTGTTTATTTTCGATAGTTGTTTGCTTCCATATGGTTTGCATATCTTTGGTAAAACATCTCGTAGTTTATTTAAACGTTCATTGAAATCTTTCACTCGAGCTTTCTCTTTAATGTTAGCCAAGTGCCGGGCTTCTACGGCACGTGTCTTCCGTTTACTGTTTGATTGTGCTGGTTCATTTTCACTTGGTACATTTACGAATTCCATGCATTTTACTGTAGGTGGTTTGCCTGATATTTTGACTTCCTCGTTGAATTGTTGAGGAGAAGAAGGGTCTGACTCACTCGACAATGAGTATTTAGAACCACCACCCTTTGTTTGGCGAAGCAATAATCCGTTATTTTTTGGTCTTCGCCTATCTCGCTTTTTCGTAGTCGATAATTCGACTGTTTTCCATTCAGTGATTGTAGAAAGCATTTCGGCAACATGGAGTTTTGGTCTCGATAGATTGGCATGCAATGAGTCGATTACACCTTGCAGCCTCGTGTTCCTATGTGACCCCTTTACTCCGTCGTCTTGCCCTAAAGTTTGGGTAATCAAAATTATTATGTGGGTGGGTGTAGGTTTTTAGTAAGAATTATAGCAGATAACTGAGATGAGAACAAGCGAAGATGACATGTGTCACTAGAGGGCGTTTACGTACTTTACCCCTACTTT